AACCTGTTGGCTTCACAAATATGAACTTCAAAGGCTATCTCATTTAGATATGCAATGAATGTGGCCAGTCGTTCATGAATACTTAGTTTCCCAGGAAAAGGTCATAAACTCACATGCTTAAATTCCATAAAGGGTGTGCCAAGATTTGCCTTGAAGGGGGTTGGTGTGTATGCTAAATACAGGGGATTTGAAGTTAGCCAATTATGAAAGGGAATAGATTTGCCAACCAGTCAGAGATACTCCATGAAAAATAATGGAGGAGAGGCCTATAACTATGGACACTAGAGAGAGAGAGGTTCTCTTTGGAACATCAGGGGAAAGGAATGGAAACTTGTACGTCCAGTTCCATGGTAATTATAGAATACCTCCCTTGCACTTATATCTAAATGTTTGCCTTATGTCCTTTCTGCCTCACTGTTTGTATTTTGTAATATGTTCGAGCTTTCTTAATAATGTTTCTTTTTATGTGACTAGATAGATTGTTTATGTTAGTTTAGACCCTCATCCTATTCACCAATAAATTTTGGTTGTTGTGTTAAACCTTTCACTTCTAAGTAAGAACTCTTCATTTACCAGATCATATCAGAGAAATATCATATTGTATAATCTATAGATTTGGTCAACACCAGCAGAAAAATCCTCACTACCCACCATAGAAATTACCCCCTGGCACAAAAATCTTCCTTGTTCCAGCACCCCCTTGGCAATCACATACCAGACCTCATGCAGAATGGCACCCATGCAGAGTGAAGGAAGCTTCTCCTTGGCCCTGTCATATGAAATGTCAAAGAGAAGGAGGAGCCTAGAAGTTCCCTTGGCTTTGCATTGCAGCTCCAATCTGAGATGTGATTGGGAGCCGTGTACTGGGCTGCTACACAGGTGTCCTGTGATTGTGCAGATTGTCACTGGCAAGGTACTGAGGAGGAGACCTGAGGCATGTGCCCCCAATGCTCAAAGCTAGCGATGCTCATGATGTACACAGATAGTATATTTTAGTTGTCTCTTACGCTGTTTGTAGTATATCTGATTTCATGAAATAGAAACAACCAAAAAAAAAAGATGACTAGAAAAATTGTTGAAGGAGAAGGAGAATAAGGAGCTATTTTGGCTGATTAAAGTAAGCTAAGGATTAATAAGTGTTAAAAAAAAAAACTTTTTTTTTACTTGTCAGGTTGCTTTAACTAACATCATCCGCAGATCTAAGTCCATTTCTTTGATCTGCATATTAATTAACAGCATGATACAAAAGTAGCAGCATGTTACTTTGTATCTTTCTATATTCATGTGAGCAATGTTGTTTATAAACACTGATTCAGACTGCTTTTTTGACAGCTGAAGCTGCCAGACCTTTTCCGAGTACTCAGCAGTCCCAGCTTTAATTAATCAAAGTGGTGGACAATTGCTGTATACTGGGAGTGGGTCCCAGCAGCCGGGCAGAGAGCCTGGACATACTACACACATCCTGTGTGTACAATAATCACATTGTTTTTGGATGGGTATAGCAAGCCCAAAGTCTGGAGATAGCTAGACACCATTTATAAGATGCCTATAGAAGACATTTCCTGTCATAATAAAGCAGTTCTATAAATACAGAGGAGAGTTTCCTCAATAGCACATTGCACATGAAAAATAATTACTTTTTAATTGACACTTTTGTTAAAAACTGTTCATAATTTTTTGTGCCATTGTGCACTAAAATGTGAATACCCTGGGGTATGAACTTTTATAGATAGCAGTTTCACTCTGGATTTTTTATTCCTCAGGGAATTAAATCCCAACTCCAGAGAGAGTAAAAATCCTCCCTTGCAGTGCTTCAAAGGTTAAATGTTCCTTTAGTTTTGGGGGACAAGGAAAAAGGTTTTATTTATCTAATCATCTGCTCCCTGGCAGATGGCACATCTTTAGTAGTCTAGCAATTATTAGTGTTCTCATTTCCAGTGCAGTGCTATGGGTCCTGAATTGGTCTTGATGATGCCTGACTACCAGAGATTATTGGAGAAAAGGTTGCAAGAACCAGTCTTCTATCCCAGAGGAGCCTATGGGAGTAAGGAAAAAGGTATGTAAAATTATTTTCTTGAACCCCTAAATTTAAATGAACATTTAACCCTTGCAGTAACATATTTCTGTCCCTTTATAACTTTGTTTTCAACATTTCTGAATCAATGTGAAGGTTGGCAAATGAGCACTGCTGTTGCATGCTTTATATACAGCAGACACTTTCAATAATGCTTTATGTGAGTGCACTGGTATTCAGGTGTCCCAGGAACATATGCACTGAAGTATCTGGTGGGCAGGAGGAAAGTAAATATGAGGTAAGGACAAACAAGATTGTAAACTAAATGGTGGACCGGCAGGATTTTTTTTGGAGGAGACCCTTACAATGCTACCATATGGAGAGTGAACAGAGCAGGGATGATCGGATGAGGAGAGTCATTTACGTTTATGAAAATGTTTTAGGTGACGGGGAGTGCATTCCACATTTACACTTATACCGTGAAAATAAGGGAAGCACTTTTTGGTATCCAAAAGGATATTGCACTATTATTTGCTGTTTTTGGAGGTAAAAATAATTGAAGAGAAAAGGACGGATTGGAGCATGGTTTTTGGACTAGTATGAGATTGGTAGTTATATACAAGTTTTGATAGGGTAAGGGTGTTTAATACAGCCATTTAGACGTGGACACTAAGTGGGGTGACACGTTAATAACACTAGGTGATTATATTATATTTTTGTATATTTATGTGGGATAATGCACTATATTGAGTTTTCTTTTTTTGAGGTTTACACAGATTAAAAGAAATGTCTCCATGAAAGTGGATTAATTTTTGGGAGCATGTATATTATTTTGAGGATTATCACAAATGCCGAGAGACTGTTACTTTGGCTTTTTGAACTTTTGTGGGAGAAAGTGGAACTTTTTGCATCTAGGGAGACATAGTATTATTTGGATTGACTGTTTATTTTGGGTTAACCGCATTTTGTGGTAATGTGAAGTAAGGAAAAACAAGGTTGGAAATTAAATTCAATCTGAGATGCAAAGAGAAATTGACCCATAAGTTACTTGTGAGTTCATCGACTGACCATAAATAGGAAGTTGAACAGATCAGAATGCATATTGATACCTGCAAGCACATCTGGCCATGACCTCTACAGGTCAAAGAAGATGTCTGCGCATGTAGAAGAAATGCAGCATCAGGAGAGGAGAAGTCTGTTGTGCAGAAGGACGTAACCACTTCAAGTCAAGACACTTTTACCCCCTTCAAGTCCAGGCCAATTTTCAGCTTTCAGCACTATCACACTTTGAGTGACAATTAATCAGTCATGCCACACTGTACCCATATGAAATGTTTATCCTTTTTTGAGACAGATAGAGCTTTAGGTTTATTTTGGTGGGATTTGGTCATCACTTTTTTATTTTTGCTATATAAATAAAAAAATGCCAAACATTTTGAAAAAAAAAATATTTTGTTTAGTTTTTGTTATAACATTTTGCAAATAAATACTTTTTCTTCATAAATTTAGACCAATATGTATTCTGCTACATTTTTTTGAACACTTTTACCCCCTTCAAGTCCCAGGCCAATTTTTCCACAGCATTTAGCACTATCCCACTTTGCGTGACAATTAATCAGTCATCGCCACACCGTACCCATATGACAAAGTTTATCCTTTTTTTGAGACCGATAGACATTTTTTGGGAAAAAAAATCCCAAAACATTTTTTAGTCTGTGTAAAAGCTATAGAGTCTACCAACTATGGGATACATATACAGTATATATATATTTGAAAATTGATCAGCTGAGACCCTAAAATGCTGGACACTGGTATGGCATATGGGAGTGATAAGGATGCTGGTATGGGATATGGCAGTGATCAGGATGTTAGCATAAAGTATGGCAGTGATCAGGATGCTGGTATGGCAGTAGTCAGGATGTTAGTATGGGGTATGGGGGTGATCAGGATGCTGACATGGGGTATGGCAGTGATCAGAATGCTGGTATGGGGTATGGCAGTGATCAGAACGCTGGTATGGGGTATAGCAGTGATGAGGATGCTGTTATGGGACATGGCAGTGATCAAGATGTGATATGGCAGTGATCAGGGTGTTGGTTTGGAGTATGGCAGTGATCAGGACAATGGTATAGTAGTGATCAGGACATTGGTATGTTGTATAAAGGTGTTTTTGTGGACACTCAGACAGGTGACAGCAGTTGGCTGCATGTTTTATTATGTATATATTGGTGCAGTGACCAGGGACACTGGAGAGGACATTATTCCACTGCACAGCTTGATGTCATCTGCAAAGACTGAAATGGTACAACCCTAGACCATTCAGAGTATGAATCATTAATCAGTACTCTCTGAATTCTGTCTTTCATCCAGTTTTCTATCCATTTACAAACTGATTTTTCCAAGCCTGTAGACTTCACTTTGCACATGCTGTTGTTGCTTAACCACTAGCCTAGTGGCACTTATACTCCCTTCCTACCCAGGCCAATTTCCAGCTTTCAGCGCTGTCACACTTTGAATGACAATTGCGCAGTCATGCAACACTGTACCCATATGAAATGTGTATAATTTTTTGTGACAGATAGAGCTTTATTTTGGTGGTATTTAATTACCTCTGGGAGTTTTACTTTTTCTTAAACAAACCAAAAAACACAGAAAATTTTGAAAAAAAATGTTTTTTCTTAGTTTTTGTTATAAAATGTTGTAAATAAGTGATTTTTCTCCTTCACTGATGTGCACTAATGAGGCTGTAGTGATGGACACTGATAGGCTGCACTGATGGACACTGATAAGTGGCACTGATGGGCACTGATGAGGAGGCACTGGTAGGTGGCACTGATGGGCATTGACAAGCATCGCTGATGGGCACTGAAAGGCAGCACTCATATATGGCACTGATAGGCGGCACTGATAGGCGGCACTGACTGGCACTGATAGGCAGCACTGACTGGCGCTGTTAGGCGGCACTGACTGGCACTGTTAGGTGGCACTGATAGGCAGCACTGACGGGCACTGATAGGCGGCACTGACTGGCGCTGATAGGTGGCACTGACTGGCATTGATAGGTGGCACTGATTGGCAGCACTGATATGTGGCACTGACTGGCATTGATAGGTGGCACGGACTGGCACTGATGGGTGACACTGAAAGGCAGCTCATTGATATGTGGCATTGATGTGCACTGGTAGGCACTGAAATGTGGCACTGATGTGGCACGATGGGCACTGGCAGGTGGCATGGATAAGCACTGACAGCTGGCACTGATGGACACTGACAGGTGGCACTGCTGGGGCTACACAGATCATCAGGGCACACTGATCATCAGTGCTCTGATGATCTGTGTACATGTCCCCTCCGAGGAATGCCGATTACCGGCTCTCCTCCTCTCGAGCTGTCAGCATGACAGCTCGTGAGGAGAGAAATGCCGATAACCGGCATTTCCCTGTTTACATGTGATCAGCTGTGATTGGACACAGCTGATCACATGACCGAGCTGACATCTTCGGCTCTTTCCATGGATCAGTGATCCGCTTTGTGCGTCATATGATGTCCTCCCAGAATGAGAGAACTGCCTTGTGCCCGTCATTGTACTATATGGCGGGCGGGAGGCGGTTAAAATATTTATTTCCAGCAAAAACCCATCTATGTGGTCTTTTATTAAACTCTCCAGTATCTTCCCAACTATAGAAGATAAACTAACAGGTCTATAGTTAGCTGGTAAAGACTATGATCAATCTGTAAATATAGGCACCACAATGGCACTACGCCAACCCAGTGGCACTATGCCAGTCAGTAGAGAGTCACTTAACATTAGAAACAATGACTTTGAAATGACAGAGCTCAATTCTTTAAAGACACGTGGGTGTATGCCATATGGTCCAGATGATTTATTCACCTTTATTCTGTTGAAATATTTCTGGACCATATAAATTTTGAGCCATTGTGGATCATTTGGAGCTGTGTCAATATCATCCTTATTATGTACATGAGCTCCCCCATGCTCCTTTGTATACACAGAGCTGAATAAGATATTTATTAAATTTGCCTTCTCTTTGCCCCCAGTCACCCACTCTAGATTATTTTGTAAAGAAACACATAATGCCTAACATACTGAAACTACATTTTGAGTTTGCATATAGTTTAACTTCCTTTGCTAAATATGTAAAATTATAAATTAAACTAAGTGGATACTATAAAAGCATTAATATTACATTACACATTTTCCTTTCCTTTACTCCTGATCAATGTGTTAAAAAATATTCTAAGGAGCCTAACTCATGTGCCATTAAAAACATTAGGTAAAATAAATATTTTTACTTTAATCATATTATTTTCCCTATAGTTTGCAGCTTTACAGCTCTTTTTCCTGCCTTGTTACAAGTTTGTGCAGCTATACTTGAAGAAATAATGTTCAGTCTAATCTAAAATGGCTCAGGACTGAAAATTCTAGGTGGTTATTTTCTTGTGCATATGGAGCTTATTTATTTTTAAACTACTACTTTGCCAACTATCCCTAGGGAAGATTAGATACAAAGCCTTAGAGATAGATTGGCAGAAGAGGGAGATCGAGCATTGTGGAACATAATTCTAAAAGTCTCTGTATACGTCACTTGTATAAACATCTTGATGGAATCTGGAGTAACTAAGTAAGACTGTGATATCAATTTGAAATGAATTTCACATGAGTCTTGCAGAATACAGTACACTTTCTTGACCTGAATACTGATACATTAAAAATACTTATATTTCTATATTTTTCTCATTTACTTTTACCTGCTGAATTATATCAATAGCTTATTGATAGGGTTGCAAAACTCTAGAAATATTGCACTTGATTAATCAAATAGGGGGTTTCCTTATATTTGGGGTAAGCATCATTATATATGCAGTATCTGTAAATACAAGAAAAGTAAAGTAGTAACGAAGGACACCACATCAAATTGCTTTCTTTAAAAAGTTTTAATTATAAGTATATCAAAAAGTTCTGTCACCACCACCTAATTTCTGCCAATATATCAAATGTAAATAAAAAAATAGTATTGGATTTTTTTTTTATAAACAATGGGTCCTTCACAAAAAGGAGTTGGATGTAACTAAAGAATGAAACTCCTATAAATTGAGATAGAGAATATCCATATATGGGGTTGCTCAAAATTTTGGAAACACAAGGTAAAATAACAAAAAAACTGTTACCTAATACGGTGTTGGACCACCTTTGGCATACAAGATAGCCTGACTAATGTTCAACCATTAAAAAAAATATATATTCATATACCCACAGTTGATACAGAGGAAGCCAAAAAAAAACAGCAAAGCATAATCCAATTTGCTCCTGCAGGGAAAAAAATTCCTTCCTGATCCCCCGAGAGGCAATCAGATATTCTTTGGATCAACTTTACCTATAAATCTTAGTATCCAGTTATATTCTGTGTATCTAGGAAAGAATCCAGGCCTTTTTTAAAGCAGTCCACTGAGCTGGCCGGAATCAACCCTTGAGGGAGTCTATTCCACATTTTCACAGCTCTCGCTATGAAGAAACCTTTCCGTGTTTGGAGATTACATTTATTTTCCTCCAGACGTAAAGAGTGCCCCCTTGTCCTCTAAGATGACCTCAGGGTGAATAGCTCCACACCACACTATATGAACCACTGATGTATTTATACATGTTGATCAGATCCCCCCTTAATCTCCTCTTCTCAAGAGAGAATAAATTCAGTTCCTCTAATCTTTCCTCATAGCTGAGCTCCTCCATGCCTCTTATCAGTTTGGTTGCCCTTCTCTGTACTTTCTCCAGTTCCCCAATGTTCTTTTTGTGAATTGGTGCACAAAACTGAACTGCATATTTCAGATGAGGTATAACTAATGATTTGTACAGGGGTAATATGATATCTGTCTCTTTGGAGTCTATATCTCTTTTAATGCAAGAGAGGATTTTGCTCGCTTTAGAAACCGCAGCTTGGCATTGCATGCCATTATTAAGCTTATGATCTACCAGAACTCCCAGATCCTTCTCCACCATTGATTCCCCCAGTTGTACTCCCCCTAGTATGTATGATGCATGCGTATTCTTAGCCCCAAGTGCATCACCTTACATTTATCAACATTAAACCTCATTTGCCACGTAGTTGCTCAATTAAACAGTACATTGAGGTCGGCTTGTAAGTTGAAGACATCCTGCAAGGATGTTATTCCACTGCACAGCTTGGTGTCATCTGAAAAGATTGAAATTATATTTTTAATCCCAGACCCTATATTGTCTATAAATTTATTAAAAAGCAAGGGTCCCAACATTGAACCCTAGGGTACACCACTCAGAACCCTAGACCATTCAGAGTATGAATCATTAACCACTACTTTTTGAATATGATCTTTTAGCCAGTTTTCTATCCATTTACATACAGATTTTTCCAAGCCTGTAGACTTTAACTTACACATTAGCCGGCTGTGGGGAACTGTGTCAAACGTTTTTGCAAAATCCAAGTATACCAATTCCACTGCCACCCCTCTGTCAAAGGTTTTGCTCACTTCCTCATAAAAAGAAATCAGACTTGTTTGAAAAATTCTGTCTTTCATGAATCCATGCCGTCTGTTGCTTAAAATATTTTTTTTCTAGCAAGAACTCATCTATTGGTCTTTTATTAAACTCTCCAGTATCTTCCCAACTATAAAAGTTAAACTAACAGGTTATAATTACTTGGTAACGATTTTGACCATTTTTAAATATTGGCACCACATTGGCCTTACACCAATCCAGTGGTACTATGCCAGTCATTAAAGAGTCCCTAAAAATTAGAAACAATGGCTTTGAAATGACAGAGCTCAATTCTTTAAGGTACCGTGGGTGTATGCCATCCAGTCCAGGTGCTTTATTCACCTTTATACTGTCTAAATATTTTTGGATCAATTGTGAGCCAATGTGGATCACCTGGAGCTGTGACAATACCATGCCTATTATGGACAAGAGCTTCCCCATGCTCCTTTGTATACACAGAGTTAAAGAAGGTAGTTAATAAATTTGCCTTCTCTTTGTCCCCAGTCACCCACTCGTGATTATTTTGTAAAGGGCCTACATGCTTGACTGGACCTTTTTACTATTAATATATTTGAAGAATTTTTGGGAGTTGGTCCTGCTATCTTTTGCAATCTGTCATTCTTTTTCAATTTTTTGCAGCCTTTATTTCCTTTTTGAGAAAAAAATATGAATGAAAATAGCGCCAATAGTGTTAACATGTAATCAATTAACATAAACTGCTAAACCTTTCCCTTAAATAAAGGTGACAATCATAAAACAAAAAAAGGTAGCATCATTAAACGTCCAAATCAAACAGTAAAGACTAAATAAATAAAAAAATGTCTGTAAGAATTTTCTCTTTCCATCAAACAGTGAAAAATGTCCATCACCATAAGAACAGATTTGTGCAAATCCACCACCAACAGAAATGAATAAACTCACCAGAGCAAATTGCCAGTTAAATTATAAACTTTGTTTGCTCTGGGAGCAATACTCTGCAGGTAGACTCAGTGGTGACCAGCTTTTCAAATTATTTCTCTCTCTGCTTGTTGATGTAGTATATCGCAAATCAGGGAGACTCAGATATCCGGACACTTATTTATCCTCTCTGGGAGCAATACTCTTCAGATCTATAAACTCAGCAGTGAAATTTTCCAGACTGAATTCCAAGAACTTCATACACAAGTTCAGAAAAGAAAAGAAAGACAAAGCAAACGATCGTGTGATACCGTATGACACGTTTATTTGTAAAAACTCATCATAATCCACTCACATGGAACAGTGTCATAGCCGACACTAGCAACAAACACATTTAGTTTAAAATCACAGAAAGCCAAGACGACAGCCTCTTACAGAACGTAGTAACCCTATGCGTTTCATCATCCGACGTCTTCACAAAGCGAAAGGTTGAATGTCACTACATCCACAACACAGCAATTTATACCCGCTTACCAGCGTGGGAACGAATTGTCGGATCAATACTTAACCACTTCCAGTCCAACCCATGTATATAAACGGCCGTCGGTGGCAGTGCAAGGTCAGGTGGCCATTTATAAATGGCCTCCCTGCACCCTGATTGTGCGCGCTCACCATGGTGACACTGTACTGCTAGGGTGACAGCATGTTAAAAAAAAAAAACATAAATAGAGGGAGGCAAATTCCATGGCTCTAGTATGGAGTTTAACCCTTTGAGGACCAAGGGACGTATTTGTCCCATGTTTTTAATTGCGTGTATCATCTGATTAAGAACTCAAAACTCTTTTTTTTTTTTTTGGTTTGAGTCAAAATATTAGTTCTTATCAACACACAACAAATGGATATAGGTTTTTGCCAATTATT